ACACGAGTCCAAAAGTGACGACAATTCTGCGTTTCGCGACGGTTAATACGCGGCTCAACAAAAAGAACAAAAACAAAAAATACAAAAAAGAAACGAAAAGAAAAGAAAAAAAAAAACAAACACTCCTTTCGCAGCCGGCAGCAAGGCTTGTACTCCAGAAGGCATTGGAGCCAAGAGTGAGGAATGCAGTGAAGATGCACATTGCGACAACCATTGCATGTCATCCCATCTTTATGTGCCTACCCACTGGTTTCCTCGAACAGTGATGGCATGTTGGTCATTTCGCTTAGATTCGCGAGGGTTGTGTCTGTGCCGTGTGCGACTTTGAGTTCAACAACTGGCCTCATGATGAAAGTTTCACAGCACGCTGGGGCAAGGTACATTATCAATGTTTTCCCTGATTACTAGGTGTGCTTGACCAGTAGGCGGGAGGCGCATCTTACTTGGTTGGGAGCGACAAAGGCACAAAATGCTGACGGCATCCCAGACCTCGCAGACAGACATGCTGGGCTAGGCGCATAGCCCCAGCTCTCGCTGCACGGGGAGAGCAGAGCTTGTAGAACATAAGCGCCATCAGAAAACGACAAAAATGAAGAAGAAAACGCAGGAGGAGGACAGGAGGAGAGACGATGAGGAGGAGGAGAAGAAGAAGAGTAAGAAGACGAACAAAGTTCTGGAAGGTATCCGTTCGGGACCCAGGAGCTGTTGGGTGTGGCCGCGCGGGGTGAGTGCGCGCAAGAGTGGAGCAGATGTGGAGAGCAGCTTCAGACCAAGTGGTCATGGTATGCTGCGCGTGCAAAGTGACAGGTACGACCTGCAGCAGCACGCCAAGGCCAGTGGCCAAGGCATGGAATATCAGGTCACCACCTCAAAGCCTCACAGCCTTTGCAGCCTTTGCAGCCTTTGCAGACTTTCTGCCTTTCCGCCTTTCCGCTCCGCTTCGCTCCGCACGCTTGTGATCAGTTTGATGCTTCAGACACCATTTCTTGTCCAAAGGGTTAGGGACGGGATGGGAAGGGCCAGGCGCTGCCATGACCAAGCCTGGGCCTTTGGGAAACACCCAGAAGGCTGCGACACTGAAAAATTTGGAGATCCGAAGGCCGCCCATCGTCATCAGCTTGAAGCGCCGGCTCGGGGAGGTGCGGAGCGCCCGCAGTGCGCCTCAAAGCCTCAAAGAGATGCCTTTTCTTTTCTTAGTCTTTTGCGCAGGACGACGACTCGGAGAGAGGCAAAGCATGCGCTCTGCATGCTTTCCAGACACCTGCTGCTTGTTTTGTCAGTTTGCGGCTTTCTTTGAGGTGCCTCAGAGAAGTCCGCAAGGCTCCGCCAGGCGCGAGGTTTCGTGGTCGGATTGAAACGAAAGCTCCACTAGGCTCTCTCTTGGCGGGCTCTGGGAAACGGTGGAGCGGCTGAAGGCATGAACTTGGAAGGTCTCAGAGACCTCTCTCTGTCTCTCCGTCTCTCTCTCTCTGTATGCCAGTTTCAGGACCACTTGGAGTCTTGGCTTGAGGCACGTGTTGCAGCGCGTGCGCAGCATGTGTTCTTTCACGCGTATAGCCGGAGAATCCAGGCCGAGCTAAATCAGCTGGCTCCCTTGGAATCTCTGGATGTGATCCCAGTCCAGAATGCCCGCAAAGAGGCCTAGTTGCAAAGCAGCGGAAAGCGAAACAGCAGGCGAGCAGGCGAATTCTCTTTTCAGGTCTTGGGATTCACACAGCGCTCAACGAGCCCGATGCCTGCTGCGCGGCCATCTTTATGCATGATTAATGCACTGACGCTTGAGGTGACAACGGAAGGCCAGGCGGAAAGAGGAATTACGAACGTGTAACGCGTGTACGTAAGTACACTTCATGCTTTGTGTGTGTACTTTTGAATGTCTCTTCGTCTTCTGGATGCTGCCCAGCTTGGCGGCCGCGGTGCGAATGCTACGGCAGCAGGTAGGGCCCTTCCGTTCCCTCCACTTTCTTGCCTTTCAATTTTCCCATGTGACGCTTCAGTTTCATGTTGCAAGTGGCAGGTGGAGGCCGATGAGAAGGTGAGCGCCGCAAGCGAACGCGAAAGCCAACATCCCCTCAACCCCTCTGACCTCCGAGCCGCCGAGGTCCTGTCTGAGCTCGCGGCGTGGGAGCTCAGTCGAAAGCCTCAGCGCTCAGCTGGGAACCACCTTGTCCCCAACTGGCGGAGGCCTCCCTGTCGGCTTTCGCGCGCCGGACAGCGCCCAGCGTGAAGGGGGAAGAGGCGGGGGAGAGACTGGGGACATGTGGAAGGATGGGAATCTGAGAGTCTCCTTTTTTCGGCTTTGCTTTTTGGAAGCGCTTCGCGCTTCGTTTCTTCGTTTCGTAGTTCGTCTTTGAGGCCACGGCCGCCACGGCCTCGGATCTCGGGTCTCAGCTCCGGAGGCTGCTCGAGGCGCTGGAGGCGAAGGCCAAGGCCAAGGCCAAGACACACACAAACACAGAGCACCACAGCTTTTTTCACTCTCATTTTTGTTGTGTCTACTTTTACATGTCCCTGTTTCTTTTCTTTCGTATGCTTTTTATTTTGTGAGTTCCGGTGGTGCAGAGCCTGCAGCGACCTGGGGCAGCTACGCAGGCGGTCGGGAAAGGAGCGAACGCGAAAGCCGGAGATGCTGAAAGCGCAGAAAACGATGCTAAAGGCGCATATGGCGCATCATGCCCTCTGTACTTCCTGCTTTCAGCAAACCTTGAAGGTGACAGCTACAGTTACAGCGACGCATAAAAAAGAGCTACAGAGCACTTCGAAAGCTTTGCAGCTCTCTTTGCTTTGCCAACTTTGCTGCTTGTTTTTTTGATTCTTTGCTGTTGAGGTCCCGGGGCAGAAGCGGAAGTTCGTACCGCATGTCATTGAGCCGTCCCTAGGTGCGCGGGATGAGTTGGGTATGATGGGATGAGGGGTCAGTAACAGGTTTCCCTGAAGTTGTCAGGAGTGGACCGGCTGTTTCTGGCGCTGCTCTGTAGCGCCTATGACGAAGACGTGGTGGGGGACGAGAAGCGGTCCCTCTTGAGGCTGGAGGGAGGGGTCTGTGCGGTGAGGTAGCGTGGTGACTGGCTGTGAGAGGTGAAGAGGTGAGAAGAGGAGGTGTGTGTTTGTGTTGAAGCGAACATTGAGAAGGGATTAGAAGGGAATTTGGACTGCTTTGGAAGGTAGGCCAGCAGAGCTGCGCAGCTTCGCTTGGCAGCTTCGCTTCGCAGCTTCGGCTGTTCGAGGTTCCACCCCTGCGTGGCGCCCATCACCTGCGCGGTCTTCCCGCTCATGAAGAAGCCCCCATCACTCGTGGAAAAGGTGCGAGCCCAAAGCAACTTGTGCATTTTTCCTTGGAGATCCGTGGCATTTTGCGATTTGCAGAGGCCCGCAGCCTAGCAGCACGGCTTCGGCAGCGTGGCTGGAATGTCCTCTACGATGAGGCTTGGGGCTTGGAGGTCTTGAACGGAAGACAAAACTGAACTCATTCTTCCCCACTTGCTCCAGAGGCTGGCAGCATTGGGAAGCGCTACCGGCGCATGGATGAGGTCCCTTTTGAAAACGGACTCTCTTTTTCTGAGCTGCGCTTTCTCTAGCATTAGGTTGGAACCCCTTTCTGCTGCACCGTGGACTTTGACACCCTTGAGGAATCATTTTTAGTGTTTACAGCATGCTGGTTTTGAGCTCGATTCAGAAAGGACGACACCGTGACCGTGCGGCGTCGGGACGAGCCGCTGGAGGCGAAGAAGTTTTTTTGTTTGAATGTTTTCGCAAGGAGAGTTTGGCCTCCTCTTGGGTGCCGATGCCCAGGTCGTGCGCATGCACTGCGAAGATGTGACAGGCTTCCTGGACGACGCGTGCCTGGACCTCACGCAGGTCTAGAGAACCAAATGCGCAGAGTTTTTTGTCTTTGTTCTGGTTCTCAGGCCAGCTGCCAATGTGATCAGCTGGATAGATTGAAAGAAACGCGGTGCGGTCGTGAGGGTACGTTTGACTCCACCAGAATGGATTCAGTAGACTGTTTCAGTTGTTAAGGCATACAGTCCTGCTGCTGGCAAGAGCAGAGCTTCAGTGTGCAGAAGGGGGCAGTTTTGGGGCTTAATTGGAAACATGGCAACCGCAAACCGCAGCCAGTTTTGTTTTCATTCATTTTTGCCCTTCGTGTTTTGTCGCTTTCTGAAGAAAGCGTGGGGCCTGGGCCTGCCGCAGCGCTGCCGCAGCGCCGCATTTGCCATGGCCCTCTTTGTCCTGGGCCTCGCTCTGCTGGTGCCAAGCCAAGCCACAAAAAGCACAGATTGACGGTTAGAGACGGTTCTCACAACCCTGCATCCGTTTATGTCTTTCCCGATGAGGCTCTTTCTGGGGGAGCACAAAAGGCGCTGCAGCTCTTTCCGGCTTGCCAGACACGCTTCTTGCGCTTGGCAGGAGCGAGAGGAGCCCCTGAAGGCATTTGAAGAAGCTTTTTTTTGTCCGTGCTTCTCCGTGCTTGTCCGTGCCTGTCCATGCTTCATGTGAGAGGTGGAGATGGAGCAGCTCCAGCAGCGGCTCATGGCCGAGGCGAAGAAAAGCAGCTTCAGAAGATGTTTATGCACAGGTCCCCTCTCTCCTTTTCACCTTTCCTCTTTCCCTCTTCTTCACAGAGTTGTTTTTCAATGAGGTTTTCTTATGGCTCTTCCTTTGTTCCGTTTCAGATGGTCGTGGAGCAGCTGCAGACAAAACTGATGGCCGAGGCCGGGAAGCTTCTGTTCTTCTTGATACGTTCTGCTTCTGAGCCTCCCTAAACCCTCTTCTTTCGCTTCGCGCCGCTTCGTGAATGTTCAGGTGAAGGGGCTCCTGGCAGAGCTGCGACAGGAACAGGGAAAGGACCGCGAAGGCTTCGCCAAGGAGCTCGAGTCCATAAAGAAACAAGCAGCAGAGGACCGGACCGTTTAAACATCGCACGTCGTCCTTTCAACGTTCTCAAGAAGTTTCCTCCCCTACTCACTACTCAAGTCCCCCCATCTCATCTTCTTAAACGAGGACCTTGCAGCGATGCGGACGGCCATGGCGGCCGCCGAGGAGCGAGCTCAGAGCGCGGCCCAGGCCGCCGCCAAAAGTGCTGAGGCTCGGATGAAGCGATATGAAGCGGATTGGAAGAGATGGAGGATGATGTTGTGATGAGCGAGGGAAGCAAGCACCACGGGAGCGCCCAAAAACTCAGGGTAGCAATGCAGCAGCGAAGCTGTTCTGCGAATTCTGCGCATGCTAGCACGAGCAGTCACTCTTCGTACTGCAACAAGAGACAGCAAGTTACTGAACGCATTGATAAAGCACAAGAACCAAGGATTCAGCAACTTTCCGCGTTATGCAACGGGCCGATAAGCTTTTCCGGCTTTTTTCGTGGGGTCCTCACACTCGTCGAGCAGGGGCGCTTTCTGTAAGATGATTCGCGAACTTGCGAGGCAGGTCTTTTGAGATCGACTTGGTTCCTTCAAGGTGGCGAATGGAGTCAGGTGGAGCTTCGGGTGTCCTGTTTGGCCAAAGATTATGTTGAGCGTGCTGTGTTTCAAATTCATCCCAAAATGTGCGCCTCTGCCTCCCATGTGTGGCAGTCCAAAGCATCTGTGCCCGTTTGAGGATGGGTTACTTTCCCTGAAGCGTGCCGTGGGGCAACAACGTCATGTTGGCGCCGTTCGTCATCTATCGCTTCCCCCAACCATTATGGCACTTTGCAGTTCTTCTTGAGGGGGGGGGGTTGGGGCCGGGGGTTAAGTTTTCTGATGCACACTCGAGCTTGGTTTGATTGAAGCTTTCTTGTGGCAAAATGTCATTTTAGGCCTAGCGGCAGGGGCCGGCCCAGCATCATGAGCATCATGGGGTCTGTTTGGGCAAGGTGAAGCCCCACCCCCCAAAACCTGAACCGCCCCATAAGCAACACATGGCACGGCTACCCCCCAAGCAAAACCCAAAAGCCAAACTTAGCCCCCCCATAAGCAAAACATACGTGGCGAGGTTAAACCCCCCATAAGCAAAACATAAATGGCAAGGTTAACTTCCAGGAACGCTCAGGCATAAAAGGCTGGCAGAAGGAGAAACGGGACCCCATGATGCTGATGATGCTGGCCAAGGGGGGCCAGCATCATCAGCATCATTGGGAGTCCGTTTCTCCAATTTTGGCCTCCCATGCGCCCAATGACCTCTAGATTTTTCTCAGCCCTACCGCAGGGGGCCTCTTGGAGCTGTTTTTCAAAACGGTCCGTGCTCATGATGCAGATTTTGTGGTTTTTGGGAAAATCATTCAAAAATGAGCCGGAGGTATTTACCAGGACAGGAAATATTTTACAGTGACAGGTTCTCATTTTACAATGATTTCTGAGCCTCTCTTCCACAAAGATCACAATAGGGCTTGGGAGCAGTATATCTGGTGCTAAAGGCCCTGAACCACACCGAAAACATGGCTCCCAAGCCTTTTCGCAGCAGAAACAAGGCCCGGGAGTCCATTTAGGGGCCAACAATACGGCTCCCGCCAATCCCTAGTAGCGCCCTACTAGCACCAGAAACCAGGCCCCAGAGAGACGTTCTTTTGATCCTGCGGAAGAGATTGGCGGGAACCGCATTTTTGGTCCGTTTAGGCTCTAGTAGGGCTAAAAATACGGCTCCCGCCAATCTTTAGTAGCGCCCTACTAGCACCAGAAACCAGGCCGCCGAGAGACGTTCTTTTGATCCTGCGGAAGAGATTTGCGGGAACCGCATTTTTGGTCCGTTTAGGCTCTAGTAGGGCTAAAAATACGGCTCCCGCCAATCTTTAGTAGCGCCCTACTAGCACCAGAAACCAGGCCGCCGAGAGACGTTTGATCCTGCGGAAGAGATTGGCGCGAGCCGCATTTTAGGGCCTAGTAGGGCCAAACATACGGCTCCCGCCAATCTCTAGTAGTGCCCTACTAGCACCAGAAACCAGGC